GCGAACATGTTTTCGATGTATTTTTGCCTCCTGATTATGAATATGACAACAGAAATTAGCGCTCGGCCATATCGTCGCCGCTATTTTGAAAAAACATCATAAAAACTTGATTTTTTTAAATTTTTCTGCATTTATTTTGAAAGATACAAATGTGCTGAAAAAATGGTTGAACAAAAAATGCAGAGCCATACGGAAAAAACGAAATGCTTGAATCTACTATTCAAATAATAAGATAATGTTCCAACGAACTTTTGTAGTTGATTTTACTATCCAAATAGTAGCTTTAACAAAGTAGATAGTGCAGCTTACTATGTTAATAGTAAAACCAACTAAAAAACGTTCGTTGGCGCATATCTTACTATTTAGATGGTAGATTCAACAATTTCGTTTTTTCCGTGTAGGAAATTTTGGGAAGATGCATGTATATACAAATTATATACACCGTTCTCATATTTGTGGTTGAAACCATATACATTAAGAACAAGTTAAAATAACCGATACATAAGTAACCTAGAAGTCCCTTATGCCCGATTTCTTCATATCTCCAGATAGCTGTTGTACGTTGCACGCTTGTGATTTGTGCGCGTGCTTCCACCCAGTGATACGCGGTATCCTGTTTCTTCGCGTTCGGGGGTGGTCGAGAAATAAAACTGGATTTCTCTAAGTTTGAAGACTATTTATTGAAAGGCTCGTGGATGCGAAGTACGGTGTACAGCCGAAAGACACGTACAAAAATGTGACCGTTGCGAGCGGCCGCGCTAGAGACAGGAAACGAAGTGATCGCAATTGCGAGCTCGCCGCCGCGAACGACGGGCAGTAACGACGACGCACGAGCGCCTCAGCCAATCAGGCGCGCGATCCACCGAAAGCGAGTTCGGTAAAAGTTAGGCGCCGGGCGCCATAATCAAATCAAATAAGTATACTTAACAGCTGTCTTCCAGATAAAGATATCCATCAGATAACTAAAAATTCGTTTTTATCACTGAAACCTCAGGTTACGCATCTAACGGATAGCTATTTTTCATACCATAAACTTTCGAAACAAAATATACTAGAATTTTACTATAAATTACCAGCGACATATTCTTTTTCTAGTTACGATCAGGGGAGTCGTCAGTCGTGTGGCATATATTTTCAATTCAATTTGGTGGAATGAGCTCGTTGCGTTGTACGAATTTCCTCATTACCTTGAGGCATTTTGATCATTCTTGCTGATAATAAAGCAATTGCCGTGGATACTTTTGCAACAACTCGAGAAGCAGTACTAATGCTCACTCCACTAAAATCACCACTGGCACGCAGAAAATTGCCCGTGGCATAAAACCTCAATGTTAACAATAACTGGTTCATCGGTGTCTGTGATCTTGATCTAAACTTACATTAAAAATTATTAACTACTCATTAAATAATAGATTTATAAATTAACTTTATTATTCGAACAGAATACATACTTGTTCCACAGTATTAACAACTGGTCTTCAATTGTATGCAATAAACCAAGCACTGTATTCTTTTTTAAACGAAAGCGTTCAAAAAATTCTACGTCATCCCATTTTTGAAAATTATCCAGTTTGTTTCTTAATGTATAAGGTCTTCTTTCCACAAATTCATCATCATCAGATTCAAAAATATTTATATCCTCGACCAACAAATCCATGTTTTAACAACAATGATTTTGTACTGTAATTTTTTTAGGTTAAGTAAGAGCACTGAAATCAATATCTGCCAGATATCCGCTACTTTAGGTAGCGGATAAGTTTATCTGTAGGATATCAACTTTACGATGGTGAAGAAAACCGATTCTGAGAGATATCTCATAGATAAAGTTATCGACAACTTATCTAGAAGTGAAGAAATCGGGCATTAGTCTTCATCGTCAGTGGTAAATTCATCATCTTCATATTCAAAGATCGATTCGATTTCGTCCTTGTCGTTTACATCTGGTACACAGTTCTCAGTCGCTGCGCGCACCCGCACTTTATTATTGATTTTGGCCACTTCGGCTTGTGTAAATCGTCAGATTATATTATTCCCGTGATCCTTGATTAATTTCCTTCACAACAACAAAAAAATTTAACCGCGCTCGAGAAAACTAAGTTCTCACTCAAAGGCTTTAGCGTCATACGCAATGATATCATGACACCCGGCCATAGAGGTACCTGTATTCTTATTAGACAAAACTTAGTTTATAACATTCTAGATTTGTCAGCCTACAATGAAGCCTCGGTGGAAATGCAAGGCATAGAGATCTTTGCCAAAAACGAAAAATATACTATTATAAACATTTACCGTCATCCTAACTGCGACACTCCCATGCAATTCTTCGAGGATCTGTTGAGTTACATCGTCATTAAGGGCAATTGCATCATCATGGGCGACTTGAATGCGCATCATAAACATTGGGGATGCCGTTCCACGGATCGCGTCGGCAAACGCATTCTCGAGGCTTGTGAGGACACATGTAGCTGTATCCTAGGAGATCATAAACCTACACTTCTCCTTCCTCCCAGCTCAGGACCTTCAGTCATCGATTTGATCATCGCCACACCGAGCATCGCTCCTTTATGTAATACTCACACCGAAGACGACACTTAGGGCAGTGATCACTTTCCTATCACCGTTTCTTTGGGCATTAATCCATCTATTCGTCGACGCTATATTTACAAGATCAAACTCAATCCTCGCGAACTTCTCAATTTCAGTTGCAGTATGGATAAATCATATGCGTCCTTTGCTAATAATCTTTCTCAAAATCCTTGTGAGGCATACTCGAGTTTAACTAAACATATAGTCGACACAGCTCTCTCTTGTTCCTCTACCACCAAGAAATCTAACCCGAGTTCAACCTTGATCAGAAGTGACAGAGCCGCCCCTCCATGGTGGTCGAACAAGTGCCAAGAGACCATAGAAGCTCGTCGAGCGGCTGCTAGAGAGTGGCGAAGTAACCCAACAATTCTAAACTTCCTTACTTTTAAGAGAGAAAGATCCAAATGTTCCAAAACACTCTATAAGGAAAAAAGGAAAAGTTGGAGAGAATTTGTGGGTACTTTTAATGCAAAAACTCCTTCTTCCAAACTCTGGTCGTTAGTTAAAGCATTCAAACGTCGTAATCTTTCAATGTCACGCGAAAACATGGAACTTTTCAAGGAGAGGCAGTTGACCAGTGAGGCAATTCAAAAATTATGCCCGCCTTCATGTCTACATAACATTACAACGAGTCTCAGCGATATGAAAAAGGACGATGAACAATCGGAAAATATATTCAAGGAGCTCGACACCCCAATCACCACGGAACATCTTGATATGGCAATCTCTCTAGCCAATAACAATTCCGCCCCAGGATTAGATAGAATCAGCAACAATATGCTTGATTACCTTCCGTCTGAATACAGAGAGCTGCTAGTCGATCTTTTCAACAGTTTTCTTCAAGAGGAAGTCATCCCCCCCGAATGGAAATCTTCTTTAGTAATTTTTATACCCAAAGCTGGTAATTCTGGTATGAGGCCTATCTCTCTCTTATCGTGCATACTTAAGTTATTCGAAAGAATTATATACTGGAGATTGGTGTGGCTGATTGAGTCACGATCAATTCTTCCCAATGAGCAAATGGGCTTCCGTCCCAACAGGTCATGCAATGATAGCCTGGTTACGTTCACGAATCAGATTCTTACGGCAATAGCAAATGGCGAATTTTTTGTTGCAGTCTTTCTGGACATTACAGGCGCTTTCGACAACATTCTGCCCTCAGCTGTACTTGACGAACTGAAAGATGCTGGCGTTCCGGCTACTATTAGAAAATTTATAGAAAATCTAATCGTCGAGAGATCGGTGCAGTTCTTGGAACAAGGTAATTTGGGCGAAAAACGGATATCGTACAAAGGCACCCCGCAGGGTTCAGTGCTGAGCCCTCTGCTTTTCAATATCGCCCTCTGCAAGATTGGATCCTGCATGTCTAGAAATGTACAATTTCTACAGTATGCAGACGACATCGTGATATTCACTTCTCATCGCAACCCCGTGACGGCAGTTGACAGGATTCAGACAACCTTAAATCAAGTTACGAACTACGTTGGGACCAAAGGCTTATCCCTTTCCCCCTCCAAGTCAAGCTGGATGATTTTTGCGACCTCCAAGGCGCTGCCTGCCCCAGGCTGCTCTCTCTCTATAGACAACTTCCCCATTCCCAGAGTGGAAAAGGTCAAATTCTTGGGAGTTATACTGGATCGCAAATTAAAGGGAAACCTGCACTTGGAATATCTTGTGAAGAAGGGAAAGGCTCTAGTCAACATCATCTCTACTCTCACGGCTGTATGGTGGGGCTCTCATCCCCACTGTTTACTTACCATATATCGATCAGTTTTTAGGGGAGCTATAGAATATGCATGTTCAATTTTCACATGGAAGGGTAATGCAGGAGTTTTCCGCCAACTCGAAAGGTTACAATACAAGGCCATCAGGTTGTCCATGGGATATCGCTTGTCTACTCCTATAAATGTCATGCTGTGCGAGGCGAAAGAATACCCCTTAAGACTGAGATTTAATCTCCTCAGTGAGAGATTTGTCATTAAATGCATGTCTAAGAGGAATCACCCAGTTATAAACAGTATCGAATCTCTGGAATGCAGTCTTAACACCCGTGCGCAAAAGGCTCAGGCGCTGGCAAATTCTCCCTCGCTGAGATGTTATATTACCAACAAACATGATATCTCGCATCTGAGAAGTTCATACTTTATTCCTGCTTTCGAGAGTAGTCTGAATGCTTTCATTTTACGTAAGCATCTTAGAAGTTCATACTTTATTCCTGCTTTCGAGAGTAGTCTGAGTGCTTTCATTTTACGTAAACACTTTGAATCTTTTATCTCACGTTCTAAAGAATCCAACGATAATGAGATTATTCAGTCTTTCAACGACAGGCTGCAAGAATTAGACCCATCCGGACTCACCGTTTACACAGACGGATCAAGGATAACGGAAGATGGATGCGCGGGCGCGGCCTTCTTCTCGCCGGAACTTGGACATTGCTTCAAATACAAGCTGACTCGCAGCGAATTTCAAATACAAGCTGACTTGCAGCGTCTCAGTGTTTACTGCGGAAGCTTGGGCAATATATCAAGCCCTTATTTTGACGTTAGATGCGGGTTATTCTAAGATTTACATTTTTTCAGACTCCCGCAGCGTACTACAAGCCACCTCGTTTCACAGATTGATTAACGGTAATTATATTATCCACAAAATAAAGCAAACTCTGCTTCAATTGGAACACAATAACATCGACTGTTCCCTCTTTTGGATTCCTTCGCATAAGGGCATCTTAGGCAATGAGCTGGCTGATAAAGGCAGCCAAAAAGGCGTGTATTGACGGAGCTAGAGGCTTTTTCCGTACCCCCTACTCAGATCTTCAGGTTCAGGCAGTAGCCAAGGCCCGTGTTCGTTTCACGGATTATTTGAACGACAAGGCTATTCACACCGGAGCTCACTACCACTCGTTATATTTCTCGTCCACGTCTGTTAAACCTTGGTACTTCAAAAAGAAACTCACCAGGGGGTCAATCATGTACTTTTTCCCCTAGAGTGGAAACATGAAAAGTGAAAAGTTTCACGTGAACTCTATGATCATCTATGATTTCGAGGCATCACATAACTTCTCCAACTGTGAAAATGTGAAATTGTTCACATGAACTCTATGATCATCTATGATTTCAGGGATCACATAACTTTTCCAACTGCGAAAATGTGAAATTGTTCACGTGAACTTTTTAGCCATGGACCGAGGTGGCGGAAAGGCGGAAATCTAGGGAATTGATAAATATACTTCGGAATTAACATGTCTTATCCTCCGACATCTCTTATCTTAAGTATGGTGTATGAAGAAAGGTGAAACACTGCGCAAAGTAATGGCGGCAAGATGAGCGGAGCTAATGAAATTTAGGTCCATATACACCCCGCGCAATTTGAACACGAAATAATACAAAAACTATACAAAAATACAAACAACAACAAATAAATAAACAACTATAAAAAAACAAACAAACAACTATACAAACTATACTTGGAATAATACAAACGTGCAAAAATATAACTACA